AATAGGTTGTCCAGGAGCCAGCAGTGTGCACTTGTGGCCAGGAAGACCAGTGGTATTCAGGGCTGCATTAGGATGAGCATTGCCAGCAGGTCGAGAGAGGTGATCCTGCTTCTCTACTCAGCCCTCATGAGGGCACACTTGGAGGACTGTGTCCAGTTCTGGGCTCCTCAGGACAAGAGCGACATGGAGCTCCTGGAGCAGGTCCAGCAAAGGGCAACGAATATGACTAAGAGCACCTCACTGATGAAAGGCTGAGGGAGTTTGGCCTGTTCAGCCTCAAGAGACAACTGAGAGTGACCTCATTAATGTATTCAAGTACATGAATTTAAAGTGCCAAGATGACAGAGCCAGGCTCTTCTCAGTTGTGGAAACCAATAAAACATGAGGTAACAAGCAAAAACTGATGCACAGGAAGTTCCACCTGAATATGAGAAAGAACTTCTTTACTGTGCAGTCACTGAGCGCTGGAACAGATTGCCCAAAGAGGTTGTGGATTCTCCCTCTCTGGACGTGTTCACAAACCACCTGGATGCATACCTGAGCCATGTGCTCTAGGGTGGCCCTGCTCGAGTCGCAAGGTTGGACCAGATGACCCATTGTGGTCCCTTCCAACCTAACTGATTCTGTGAAGTCGATTCTATAAATTTAAGAGCTTGTTTGTGAATACCTTATGGGTCTAACCATTGGGTTGGTTGCCAGTTATGGTGACTGTACAATAAAATCTGAAGTTCCCTGGCATGTGGACTGACGTCTTTGTTCAGCTTGATGAGAACTGACCTATAGGCAGGTCATGACAATGATACATGACAGAAATTTGTGCTTTTCCCACTGAAGTATCTAGCAGGAAATTACAGTATTTTGTCATCTTTAAGTCACCCAATAATTCTAGAAACTTTAATTAAAGTTTGGGTATTAGAAAATAACCGTTTGAAATTTTACAGTGAAAATAGATTAAAAAGATGAGAGGGTCAGTAGAAAGAGTAACTAGCCCTACGACTGAAAAAATAAAAGGTCTAAGTTATAGCCACGACAGCAGGGCAAAAATGCCTTTCAATGTAATCTGCTAAAACAAATACAGATCCTTTAAGTTCTCTTTGGTCAGTGAGACACACTGATTGTTAGCAGATGACACTGAGTGGGGTGTGAGTGTTGACACGCTGGAAGGTAGGAAGGCTCTGCAGAGGGATCTGGACAGGCTGGATCCATGGGCTGAGGCCAATGACACATGGTTCAGCAAGGCCAAGTGCTAGTCCTGCCTTTGGGTCACAAGAACTCCATGCAGTGCTACTGGTTGGGGGCAGAGTGGCTGGAAAGCTGCCTGGGGGAAAAGGACCTGTGGGTGCTGATTGACAGCAGCTGAACATGAACCAGGTGTGCCCAGGTGGCCACAAAGGCCAATGGCCTTGTGGCTTGTATCAGAAATAATGTGGCCAGCAGGACAGGGCAATGATCATATCCCTGTGCTGGACACTGCTGAGGCCACACCTTGAGTACTGTGTCCAGTTCTGGGCCCCTCACTGCAAGAGAGACATTGATGTGCTTGAGTGAGTCCAGAAAAGTCATCACAGCCAGTGAAGGGTCTAGAGGGTAAGTCCTATGAGGAGTTGCTGAGGGTGTTTAGCCTGGAGGAAAGGAGGCTCAGGGGAGACCTTATTGCTCCCTACAACGACCTGAAAGAAGGCAGTAGCAAGGAGGAGGTTGGCCTCTCCCAGGCAACAAGACAAGAGGACACAGCCTCGAGCTGTGCCAGCGAAGATTCAGTTTGGACATGAGGAGGAATTTCTTCAAAAAAAGGGTTGTGAAACATTGGAATGGACTGCTCAGGGAGGTGGTGGAGCCACCATGCCTGGAGGTGTTTAAGGACTGGATGCAGCACTTAGTGGACTGGCAGACTTCAGTCAAAGGTTGGACTCAATGATCTCAGAGGCCTTTTCCGTCCTAATTGATTCTGTGACAGTCTATCTATCTTACCCACAGTCAGAGCTTGCTGACTCATCACTGCAAAGCAACACAACCTAAAAAACCAAGAACTAATTCTTGTGGTACACTTCCAGCTTTTACTGAACCACTTCCAACATACCTTTTTCTTCCTTTGCAGCACAATCGGGTTTTTCAAGCAAGCTCAAATTCAGAGTGGTTTCTTGAGGCTGAGGTGAGGGAGTTTTTTTCTTTTCATTTTGTTGCTGGCTTGCAATCTTTACAGCTGGATTAAATATTGGATGTTCTTCAAGTACTGCCATTTCTGTCAGAGAAGAGAATATAACTTATACCCATCAATTGCTTAAAAAGATCAATTATATTCATTCGTACCAAGTACCCAAAAACTGAAGCAGTGAAATGCTACTGACTTTTTAGAACTTGAAAAGGATAGATTAAGGAAAGCCTACATTTCACACAGTGGCATAAGAGATGATGAAATTAATCCAATCTCTGAGCATTACTTGCGTAACAAACGTGCAGGCCAGAAAATAAAACACAGGTAACTTGCATAGCTCTACCTTGCTGAATTCTTCTTATTTTCTCCTGTGCTGCCTTCTGGCCTTGCTTGTCTTTTTCTTGCTTGGAGACGCTTGCTTGTTCTTTTGCTTCTGAAAGCTTGGCAGACAGATGTACATACCTCTCATTCTATTTCAAACAGAATTATTAATTATAAACTGAGCGTTGTATGCTCATCACTTTTAATGAACTTCACAATAAAAAAGTGGAGGTTCTTTTTGCCCTTTATACCAAGCTTACACAAAGGAGGAACAATTAGTTTTGACATAACTAACAGTCAAAATGTCTCAGAATTTGATAGTCACTTTTCTAATCTGAGATGTGTTAAGAATTTTCCCTTTCCAGATCAACACACTCAACCTTTTGAACCCAGTACAAAAATACAGGAAAGGAAAACCAACTTAGGAAAGGAGAAGTTTCAACACATTTCCCTTCAGTAGCCTGCAAATGTAAGAAGAGGTATCATAAAAAGAAAAATAACATTCGATCCCCCACTTTTAACAAATAGATCCACCACATGCAGATGCAGTGGTTTTGCATGGCCAGGTTTTGGCAGTGAGTGGGCTGCAGCAGTGGCTTCTGTGAGAAGCTGCTAGAAGCTTCCCCATGTCCAGCAGAGCCAACGCCAGTAGCTCCAGAATGGATCCACCACTGCAGCAAGGCCATGCCGATCAGTGTTGGCAGTAACACCACTGTGATAACATATTTAATAAGGAAAACCAGTTATTATGCAGAAGTAATTGCAGCCAGAGAAGAGAAGAGTAAGAATATGTAAGAGGAACAACTCTGTAAACATCAAGGTCAGTTGAGAAGGAAGGGAAGGAGGTACTCCAGGTGCCAGAGCTGAGGATCCTCTGCAGCCTGTGGTGAGGACCCACACTGAAGTAGGTGGATTCCCAATGGAGGCTGTGACCCCCTAGGAAGCCCCTCCTGGAGCAGCTCCTGGCAGAGACCTGTGGAACCATGGAGAGAGGAGACATGGTGGAGCAGAGTTCCCGGTAGGACTTGTGATGCTGTGTGGGACCTATACTGGAGCTGTCCCTGAGGGACTGGACTGCACTCTGTGAGGGTGACCCACACTGAAGCAGTTCATGGAGAACTGCAGCCTGTGGGAAGAATTCACATTGGAGAAGTTCATGGAGAGCTGTCTCCCGTGGGAGGGACCCCATGCTGGAGCAGGGAAGGACTGATCCCATGGGAGCAGTGGCAATGGCAGGAACAACGCACGATAACCTCCACTGAGAAGGAGAGGAGGTATAGCTGGGAAGAAGGAAGGGCTGGGGGAACATGGTTGTTTGGCGTTTTTAAGGTCTGTTTTCTTTTCTCCTGTTACCAATAAAATCACTTAAATTTCCCCAAGTTGAGTCTGTTTCACTCATAACGTTATTCAGTGAGTGATCCCTCCCTGCCCTTATCTCAATTCATAAACCTTTTGTTGTATTTTCTCTCCACTGTCCGTCTGCAGAGGGGAGAGATAGAACAGCTTTGGTGGGTGCTTGGCATCCAGCCAGGGTCACCCCACTACACAGACTTATCAGTTACTGAAAGACTTCCATGAAGCAATATTCTAACTTACTGGGTCAAAATTTTCTTCATCTGTCTCTTTCACCGACTCATTTTTCTCTTCATCGCTCTGCTGCTCGGCGTATCTCAAAATCCATTCCTTCATACTCACTTCTTTCTCCTTCCTCACACTTGTCTCCTAAGAAGAGCAACGTAAGTTAAAAGCAATGATAAAAGTGAAAACATAGACGCTCTTTTCAGTCAGTATCCAGGAACTACTGTTTAAAATTTTATGCATAAACTAAGTTAAATGACATAAAAAACTATGACACAAACTTCTCCAAACAGTGTGAGTATCTCACTATGCACTTAGATCTTAACCCTTGAATAACTGCTCTAAGGAATTACATTGAATAATTGCTTTAAGAAATCACATCCTTTGTATGAAATCTTTTCCACTTCTAGTTTTAAGAATCTATAACCACAGAGAGCAAAACCCTACAAAGTACACAGGCAAACTAAAACCCACACAAGGAGGTAGAGAGTGCCACCTGTAAATAACCAGAATAAACCCATTCTAGGATAAAATTAAGCTGAAGAATCAGAGAATGGATTGGGTTGGAAGGGACTTTAATGATCACCTAATTCCAACCCCCGGGACACCTTCCAACTACACCACGTTGCTCCTCTGAATGTTTCCATAACTTCTCTGGGCAACCTGTTCCGGCACGTCACCACTCTCACAGTAAAAAATGCCTTCCTATTATGTAATCTAAACCTACTCTCTTAGTTTAAAACCATTCCTTGTAGTCCTATCACTACATGCCCTTGTAAAAAATCCCTTTCCATCTTCCTTCAGGTACTGCAAGACTGCAGTAAGATCTCTCCAAAGCCTTCTCTTCTCCAGGCTAAACAATTCCAGTTCTCTCAGCTTTTCCTCATAGGAGAGGCGCTCCAGCCCTCCTCTGATCGCCTTTGTTGGCACTCCAACAGATCTATGTCCGTCCTGTACTGGAGACCCCAGACCTGGATGCAGTACTCCAGGTGTAGTCTCACAAGGGCAGAGGGGCAGAATCTCTCACCTGCTGCCCACGTTACTTCGGATGCACCCCAGAACACAGCTGGCTTTCTAGGCTGTGAGCACACATTGCCAACTCATGTCCAGTCTCTCATCCACCAGCACCCCCAAGTTCTTCTTGGCAGTGTTGCCCTGTGCTGGTTTGGGCTGAAGTGGAGTTAACTTTCTTCACAGTGGCTAGTATGAGGCTATGTTCAGGATTTGTGCAGAGCATAGCGTTGATAATGCAGAGATGTTTGTTATTGCTGAGAAATGCTTACACAGAGCCAAAGCCTTTTGTGCTTCCCATACTGCCACGTTGGTGAGGAAGCTGGGGCTGCATGGGAGCCTGGGAGAAGACACAGCTGGGACAGTGACCCAAACTGACCAAAGGGATATTCCATACCATATGACATCATGCTCAGTATATAAGGTGGGAGGAAGAAGGAGGAAGGGGTGACATCTGGAGTGATGGTGTTTTGTCTTCCCAAGGAACCCTTACGTGCGATGGGCCCTGCTCTCCTGGAGATGCTCAACACCTCCTGCCCCTGGCAAGCAGTGAATTAATTCCTCGCTTTACTCTGCTTGTGTGTGCAGCTTTGGCTTTCTCTATTAAAACTTTCTCTCAACTCATGAATTTTTCTAGCTTTTACCCTTCTGATTCTCTCCCTCACCCCACTGGTGGGGGAGTGAGCAAAGGGCTGTGTGGTGCTTGGTGGCTGCTGGGGTTAAACCACAACACACTCGATCTGCTCATCCCCAGCCTGTACTGATACTGGGAGTTGCCTTAGCACAGGTGCAGTACCTTGCATTGGTCTTGTTCAACCTCATGAGATTCCCTGTCCTTTACCACAACAATGAACAATGATGAAGCCTCTAGAGTTCACATGAAAAATACCATTCCTTCAAATGACCATTCCACTAAAGCAATAACATGGGTGACAATTATTAAGCATAAAATATTTTCATAATAATTCCACATCAGTGTTGAAAAGTCAATACAACTCCTGTACTTTTTAGAAAAATTTGTTCTCTCTTCCCCTCAGTAAAGTGATTAAATTTTCAGATTACCTTAGTTTCAGGGTCATTTTCTTTCTTCTTATCTCCTAAGCGAGGTGGAGGTTCATGCTGTGACACGGGAGAACAAAACTTTGCTCTAGGTTTCTGAGACTGTTCCTCAAACTGCTGGCTAAAACCTTCAGGCAAGGCATCTTCAAAACAGAAAACACATGTCACAGAAAATGTCTATGATATATTTACTGAAAATATTTTAAAGTGTGCCAGGAGCCAACTAGAAGAACAGAAAACAAACAGCACATCTGAAATCAAATCAGGCTTCAGTGTTTATATAAGCTAGTGTTTGCTTGTTGGACTTGCACAGGATTCCAAAAGTAGGAACAAGAAGTCTACAAGACTTTATACAGTAAAATATCCCAGACCCAGCCAGCTGCACATCTAGTAAAGGAACACTGTGGTGACTACCAGTCTTAGTGAAACAATACATTTAACTCCTACTGTGAATCATAGAATCAACCGGGTTGGAAGAGACCTCCAAGATCATGGAGTCCAACCCTACTGTCATTACTAGACCATGGCACTAAGTGCCACTTCCAGTCTCACCTTGAAAACCTCCAGGGACAGTGAATCCACCACCTCCCCGGGCAGCCCATTCCAATTCCTGACTACTCTCTCCGTAAAAAAATATCTTCCTAATATCCAAACTAAACCTCCCCTGGCAGAGCTTGAGTCTGTGCCCTCTTGTCCTACTGCTGGTTGCCTGGGAGAAGAGACCAACCCCCACCTGACTCCAACCTCCTGTCACTGAGTTGTAGAGGGCTGTAAGCTCTCCCCTGAGCCTCCTCTTCTCCAGACTAAACAATCCCAACTCCCTTAGCCTCTCCTCATCTGCCCTCATTATTCCCAGAGCAGAGTTGGTCCAAACTCATCTGTTAAAAACTTTTCTCTGCCACCATACTCACCATCAGGTAGGTTTAAACAAAGCCAGTCAAGTGCAGAGTGAAGATCACCTCCATATAAAAGTGTATTTTTCATTGCTTCCTCAATGTGCTCAGTCTTAAAAGAGAATCTCTGTAAAGCCATGTACACATCCTATAAATAAAGTCAGAAAACACTAGGATTTAATATACCAATGTAATATAAAAGCTTGTAAACTTCTATATCTCACACATCAGACAACTGGCATTAAATGGAGGTAAAACACACTTTAATTTATCAGAATGCTAAGCAAAAAATTCTTTGCATGCAGAATTTATAGTATCTTCTTTGCAAATATGCATACACATGTATAAATAAGTCTACATTCCAGCCTCCTTACAGAACATATTTTCTAGTTAAATAGAGATAAACCTACAATTCTACAGCTACATAGAATGACAAATCCAGGAAACATAAAACATTTAGATTAAGTATCATTCCTCTATCCTATCTGAAGACTCATTTAGCTCCTGAATCCATAATGTGCCTTTCCTAACAGGCACACTGCTTGATTTCATTGACTAATCGTTAACAGAACTACTGCAAAGCAGGCCGTGCTGGCTGGTACTGCACACACAAGTGTAGTCTGGCACATGATATGAATGACAAACAACAAACTGTTCTAAATAAACAATGGTTGGAAAGCACCGCTTAGAACTCTACCTGTAATTTCTTTGCAGTAAGTCTTTTGGAAATCATTCCTTTGTCATCATTTTGGTTCCTATGGTCATTGATCACGTCAATAATCCTTTTCTCCAAATTGCCATTTATCATTACCTGCAGAGGTAAAATTAGTTGATAAGAAAAACATGGCAAATTTTTATGACACATCAATGCTCTTCACGCCTAAGGATGTAAGAACACAAATATCTCTAACATTCAAATTCCAACTCTTCCAGCTTTTCATAAGTGCCCAAAACATTGCTTATGAGAGACAATTTTTTGACTTTTGCATGCTCTACATCTTTACTTGAAATAGCAGTTATTATTACAAAGAAGGCCCATTTACATTTTTAAGCTCAAACATAGCTCTTAATAGTCTTGCATGCAAAGTATCATTACTTAAAAAACACGGGCATTCTCCTACACTGCCAATTTACCCCTAATTCTCAAAGCACACTCAAAACCCCAAACACAATCAAGCTCGACGCAGCTAATGTGTAATACATGAATGTAGCTTACCTGCATAACATAATACTGAAGAAGAGCTGAAGAATTATTTACTCAGCTAGAGCAGCACTATGCAAATCAAAGTCGTTTTATGTAAAGAAGATACTCACCTTAAGAACAGATTTATCTAGGTTTGCAGCAGCACTGGAATCCATTGTTGAACTAAAACTATAGGTTTTTGGACCTGTAAATTGCAAATAACCATCAATTACATAAAACAAACCTAACATACCACAGGTTAGGGCAACCAAATACTACACTACCTTGCCAGAAACTGGCATGCACATAAGAACAGTTAGAACAGTCAGTGGAACAGAAAGGCTTTGAACAAGGAGCACTGAAGAAGGGTATGATGCTTCGTAGACAAAATATACAAATCCAAGTGGCTCACTGAGAGGAAACAGGATTGGCTGCTCGCTCTCTCAGAACCCTGAACAAGGAGGGCCAAACAGGGAAGCTAATGGCAGGTTCTAAACATGCAAGGCTGTTGAGGTTTTTCTATTACAAAGTGCATAGGTGAGTAACAGAACACTGACACTAAAGCTATGGATGCTGGAGAGCTACTCAAGTCCCAGAGCCGACAGAATAGCTTTGTACTGAAGAAATCAACTGTTATGGGAAAGCATCAGAAAAAAACTTGCATCTGGTTCAGGAAGACCCTAAGCCACAACTGCTGGAGGATGTGAGAAAACCCTACAGAAGTATCACTGCATGTCTGACCTATTCTTACCTAGGTACCTGATTTTGTGCCCTGTCCAGGGCTGGGCACAGGGTTACAGAAGCCTTTGGTCTGATCTGCTATGGCCACTCCTTACTTTTCATTTAGCAGTTGTCAGGAAAAAACCCTAATTGACAAAACTATTTGTTGTCACAAGAATGACAACACACAGTTTGCTGTTGGATTCCACCACTTCCAGAACACATACACACCATGCCTGCTACTGCACAAGTAGGGACAAAGTGAGCAGCCCCATAGCTTTCACCACTCTGAGTGGCTGTGCACTGCTCCCAAGGAGCAGCTCGGTGCTCCAGGAGGCACAGTTGCCTCCCAGCAGGAGGCTGGACACATCATCCATGCTAGCCTGCATGCATAAGGGACCCAGGAGAACCTGTTTCTAGATCACGACAGGGTGTAGTTAACCCCATTCCCCAAAAAGTATGTTCACCTCTGGTCAGGAGAGACAAACAGCTGTTAGCACTCACAGGCTCATCACTGGCACTTACAGGTAGGCTGCATAATCACACAATGTCCTAACTTACTCTTCACCTACACTGACTGATTTTTCACCACATTAGACAACCTGAGATAGAAGCAGAATATTTTCTGCAGAGGACTGAGCACTTTGGCTGCTGGAGGAGTGAGACACAAGAAGTACATTTAGCAGAGCCGAA